AACTGAAACTTACCTGGAATAAACTCGGGGATTCTGGAGTCAAAGTTCTGTGTGAAGGACTACGAGACCCGCACTGTACCCTGCAAGAGCTGGAGTAAGACTTCTACTATAACCTGTTACATGGACACTGTACCTGTGTATAGTTACCCTTCAATAAGTACAACTTCCTGTCGGCTTTAGTCATCAATCCGTATGTTACATTGATCTGATGTGACCCGGTCTGTGTAGAGGAATTGTCTGATAGGTCAGCTAGAGTCACTCTGGGCCCTTACAGAGGGGGGGGGCTGTATTTATCTGGGCTTGGAAGAACTCTGCCCACACCGGAGGTCCTCCCATTCAGGGTGCTCCGCCCTCCACTAATCCTTTTGTCTTTCCTTGTAGTACCCAGGATGGAATGTTCATCTACTTCAAATACAGGAAACCAGAGTGATGACTCCGACGTCCCTCAGGGTCCAGACCTCCCATTGAAGGTAATTGGCTGATCCCTGGTGCTCCACCACGGACTCCCAAGCTGTATAGAGATGGTTCCCTTGCTGTGTGACATCTACGTTAGTAGCACACGGCAATGGAACACGTCACTCATTAGCACGGCACACCGGTACATGTCACTCTGTGGTGGAGGGAGAATCTCAGGTATTGTGGAGTTCTTCTAAGATGTAAGCACATAATCGGCTCCGTCACATGAAGTGTTTGGTGACATCCGTGTTCGGGGCTGGGCGGGGTCGGCATTCTGAGACACAAGTTGTTTTTGTCATCCAGTTGGGCCACTCGGGCTCGGAAAGGTTCCCCATCACTGTTCTAGGATGAGTGGTGGATGGCAGAGCCGAGGGCCCCCCAGGTTGAGCAGCAGGAAGTGGGGCCCTCTAGGAGGAGGAGGAGCAGCGGGTGGTGGAGCCAAAGACCTTCCAGGATGAGCAGTGAATGGCAGAGCCGAGGGCCCTCCAGGTTGAGCGGTGGGTGGTGTGACCCTTCCAGGATGAGTGGTGGAGGTCTGTGGGATCCTGTAGAATTATTGATGGAACTTTCTATCTTCTAGGTCGTCATTCTCTCGCCCTCCCCCGTGCTGTGCTGCTTGCTGTTCTGGGCGGAGCTCCTGAGCTGCTTCTCCAATGCTGAACTCCGAAGCACAACCCTCAGATTATGGGTGGAGGCAATCTCTCTGCTGGAATCGCTCCACTGGTAATTGTGTCTTCGATGGACGGGATGGAACCTCGCACTCGTAAACTCCAAACCCTGGCCTCTGACCCCCCTCACCTAAAGCGCCCCCCACATCCTTTCGTCAGCAATAACCTAACGCCGGGTACTTTCGGATGGAGTGGGGAAGTCGTATTGCTGTCTGCGTCCTGGTGACCATTGTTGGTGGGACAGGAAGTGACGGGAGATCCAAAATTATACAGAGGGGAAATCTTCCACTGGGGACACGGCTCACTTCCTGTTGTGTCTCCAGCAGTGGAAGTGATGGGAAATCTCTCCAGAGAGTGCAATGGTCTCCCTGTCCCTGCTCCATCCAAACTGATAAATATGTCACTCTTGTACTTGGAGAGCTTTGTAGAATGTAATCGGCCGAGTGCCTTACCCTGATGTCACATCGGGGCCCCGGAGCCCGGACCCGTTCCTCTACTTGCACTAATCCAACAATGTAGATCAGAGTTTATAGTGATTGAATCTTTGCACCTTATTTGTACCAGAAATGTTTTCCTCAAAGTTCTCTAATAAAGTGTTTAGCATGATGGCGGACTTGTGTGGTGTCACTTATGTCGCGTGACCGGGAGGGCGGCGGTGTCATGTGAGCAGATGGGCAGTGGTGTGACGTGGCCGGTGGTGTCACATGACATCCGGCGAGATCCGTATCGGCAGAGGCGCGGTCAGTTCCTTAGCCAAGCACGGAGAAGCTGTTCTGCAGCTTCATTGAACACTTCAGTTGCGCAGTGCTCAGCAAAATGGCGGAGGATAATATTTTTGACTAATACCATTTTGGGGTATATTATATTTGTCG